GACAGGAGCTAGTACAAACAGGTAGAGCTCAGCTTACCTCTGCTGTAGGGTCTTCACCAGATAATCGAGTGCAAGGCAATACTATCATTCCATTTCATTCTTAATGCTTTCCTCATTATAACTTTTATAATAAAATACTTTGATCGTAATAATATGTAACTGTTTTTTTTGGTTTTTTTTTTGAGACCCTACATTGCTGTCCGGATTTAAAATTTCCTTTAACACTGAGGTAAATTTACTAAATGTTAGAAGCATAACATATAACTTTCAATGGCATTATGATATACGATAAAATCTTCCTGTAAATAATTAATCCATACATTCTACAATCAAAAATTTAAACAACAAAACACATAAATTGAAATTAGTTAAAAAATACAAGATTGACACTGATTATAGCCGATGACTTTCCCTACCCCCGGGACTGGTCGCTCCGACCCACAGACGTCTGTCAAGGTCCGGAAGAGTAACGACGGAAAATAATCGAATAGGATTTCCCGACCCCGGGGGAAACAAGTAAACCCTAATTAAACGGGAGACAATATTTTGTTTATTAATATCAGTTCGTGAGATTTCGCGGGTCGAGAAATAATGCAAATAAATAAACAGCATCACGAACACAACGAAATATCAATGTTTTCTCTTAACAACAAGCGTCAAAAGCTAACCCAGCAAAAGTCATCTCAAAGTGTCCGAAATGGTATAAATTGATCTCGAATACCCTACATTCATGTTTAAAACTGGTATTTATACCAAAACACAATCCTATAAAGTAGTTTTTATACTCGTAAGACACTGAGCTTTCCGATAGTTCTTTATAACGTGCTTCAAGTTATCATTTTCTGTAATTAATATATCTTAAGTTATTACGTATGTTTTCAGATTGTCTATGCTTTCATCAAAAGCATATTTTTATCGCAATTAGGCTTTACCAAATATCATATTTATTATATTGATTTCCTTTATTTGGTCCGGTTGACAGATTTATCGCGTGCAATTAATAAATAACAGAAATTCACATCTAAACACGTTTAGTTTGAATATCATACCGTGTTATTCTTGTTATTTTTAATATATCTAGCTGAAAGTAAACATACTATTTGTATTAATTTTGGAACGTCAAACAGTTTTGTTAAGAAATTCATATGAATATTCTTTGCTTAATTTTCAAATTACAGGCACCAACGACAATTGTTACAAATACCAATATCATTATTCAGAAAAAAACAACACTTTCCTAAATTTCCTAGTGTTGTCATTCAAAGACTTTTAGTTCTCCCGACTTAAAGTTTTATGTTTTGTGTCGAAATTAAAACTTTTTTATTTAGATTTACCTTTCCTCATCCACGAGAATTACATTTTGTTCTATCAAAGAAGAATAACCGTTATTATCAAATGATAATTTTATCCAACATTAAATGGCAGCTAATGCACAGATAGAGATATGTATATGATAATTGATCTTACTTCAATTTTGTTCACTTCTGCCGAAAGGAATTTGGTAAAATGTTGAACATGATTTTGCAATCGAATATTTTTCAGTTGAAAATATTGGTATATATTCTATTTTAGTCAACTTCGCTTAAAACGTATACAATATATACAAGTAAGGTCCGAATGTTAAGTTTCTATCTATTTATTTTTGTTAACATCTAAACTGTACGTTGCTTTTAGTTGTATTATATTCTTTTTAGATAATATTTGCTACCCTCGGGATTTCGTGCCCGACCATGCTTGTTACCCCCTGGATTGAAGGCCCGACCCACAGAATCCCTGTTGGGCAACATGCGAAAACATATGTAAATTTGCTGTTTTTTTGTCTCAATACTTGTAGTTTGACACTGATTATGTTTAATACGTTGCCCGACCCCCGGGACGGACATTGTCAAACCCATGGTCACTTATATCTATCCAGAGGGTCACATTTTGACTTAATACCGATGTTCAAATTGAAATTCTGTTTTGACACTCTGTTCCGCGTCAACACGCCTGTATGTATCGGCCCTTGGGATTCGTTGTAGTTAATACTGAAGTAAAAGATTGACCAATCACAATTAATAGCTAGTAAAACATATTAATTAATATTTGTTTTATTGTTCGGACAGGAAATCGAGAATTTTGTCCATGTAATTATTCTCCAAATTTTAACTATAAAATGTTCAGACAACAGTTATTCAATATACTATGTTACTAAGCTGTTAACAAATTAATTGCTGAAGTGCAAATATACATGCATGTTATTCAACATTATAAAGTAAGGAACACAGTGAACAATGCAGTTATGGGGGAAATGAGATAAGATATGTTGTATGTTGATACCGTACAAGCTTGATTTTAGATTTCTAACTTTCGATTTCCCGGTAGATATAACAAACATCCATAAGTCCAAAATCTCGATATCTTCCATATTTTCCTTTGTTGAAGTACACGTATTTATAGTTTTCAATTAGGAAGTGTCTAAATGAGTTGACATAACTTGTGTTGAATTTTTACTTATAAACAATAAATAATGATTCAAACATATCTTATTGTCAACTGAAGACATAGGAACAGACACAAGTTATATAACACTTCGCCTTCTTACAGATAAACAATTCATATGTATAACAGTAATGAATAGTAACATGAATGAATTTTAATGTAGAATTAATAACAAAGATATCGAAACAATTCACTTACTGTACAAATTATCAAAATCTTTTATATGAATTTAAAGATTTATCAAACTACATGGTAAGTTGTAGATTTCCGGACAAAATGGTTTCTTAATCGATTTCTAATTTTAACAAATAAAATTTTATATTAAAATGTTTCTGTCATTTCTATTCATAAGAAGGTGATTATACATTAGAAGAAAAACTTAAGCGCAATCCTATTGTCATACTCTATAGAAGGGACTTTACACAATTCATCACGGCCAAAGAAACTGATGATAATTGATAAACAAGGATATTTCTTTCATGTAATACAAGCCTACATCTAACAGGAAACAGTTAACAAAACTCTGACTGGGGAAACCCCCGGCTGAAACATTGTAGTTGTCATTGTAATAAAAAATAGTTAATGTATGTGGAAATCTTTCTTTTTTTGTTTTGTTTTGTGTTTTTTTTTTGTTGTTGTTGTTGCTGTTTTTACTTTCTATTGTTTTTGCTTTGTTCTTTTCAGAACTTGTTTATTTTTGTTTTGTCTGGAATATCGTTCCAGGAAAGAATTTAAAGCCCAACATGGAGTTATGTGTAAATGGGAATAGAAAAGGCATTATCACGATGTTTTTCTTAAGCTTTTTGTTACCCCCGGGATTGGATGTAACATGCTAAAACATATGTAATTATGTTTCTTTTTGTCTCAATACTAGTAGATTGACACTGATTACTTGTCTAATACGTTGCCCGACCCCCGGGACGGACAAACGCGGATTTATGGTCACTTGTATCTATCCCGGGGGTCACAATTTGACTTTATGCCAGTATTTAAATTGAAATTCTGTTTTGACACACTATTCCGTGTCAACAAGCCTGTATATTTCCCGACCCTCGGGATCCAATATCAAGTGTTACTTAGCTAATTACAATCAATATTAATCAAAACATGTTGAAACATTGTAATTGATCTTGGGTGTGTTTTTCGTGCAGATAACACGGAGTTTGGTGAACGTAATTTTTATCCTTTATCTAAATTCAAATGTATTAATATCATTTCGCAAAAACATGTGATGCTCAATAAATTTTAAAAGTTCAAGATATAATACAGAATTCGTTTCATGGTTAAAAATGTACATGAAAATCAAACAATGTGCATTTAGTGCGGGAGAAATGAGAATCCTGTTAACATCGTAAAGTGTCTCGTAACGTATTACACTAGTATTTCTCTACATCTCTACATATTCACTGATAATGAAAATACAAGGAAGTATTAAAAACTGAATCACAAATGATGATCTTTCACACAAAAAACAAAGTTAAAAGGCAGTTATAAAGCTTAAGAAAGAACGGAAGAAAGTAAGAAAGAAAAAAAGAGAAACATGCATTGACAATGCAAAGAGTTGAAATAAGCATTGTCAGTGAAGGAAATAACTATATATTTTATGTTACGAAAATATATTTTTGAAATCGAACGGTTACGTTCCCGATTAACTGTACACTTCTTACAGATAACGTAATTGATTGTGCATATAGATTCTTGAGGAAATGTAATAGATGAACCGTATTGCTTTAAGTTGATGTTTTTTCTTTGAACAAGTTGAATGTTTCAGAATCCAGCGTCATAGGCATATTGATATGTGCGGATCTTACTAATCACCCATTTCTCAAAGAACCTATATGGAAATTCTGTTCAACAGTGAATTAAAGTATACGCTAATGATCAATTACCCTGAAGAGATCATTGCTACTTCATCCGTAGTATAATGTTTGTTTACAAAATATCAAAATATGTGCTGGTTTCAAACTTTTGACGGAAAAATAACAAATATAAATAGATCCCCTTTCAACGGTCATCCCAGTGCAAAAAAAAAATCTTGCGACGCTTTTCAAATTGAACGATTGAAATTCTAGATAAATTTTCAGCTTTGTTGAACTAAATAAGACAGAAATACTTCAAGAGAATACTTTTCGACTTTTCTCAATATTCTCACACATATTTCTTTACAACGAGAAAATAAGTTTGTCGATAAAGTAAATAAAACCAAAGAGTCTGCTGTCACTCCCCGGGTGCGACTTTCAGAGGATGCCCCAGGGGGGACAATTATCTCGGCTGATGAGCTACAAATAGCGAAAATAATTAAAAGAAGGCGTGACTCCGTGCCTAATCAACCGTGATGAGTGACAGCCAATGCATTTCGAGATTTGACCGCCTGACTAGGTTTAAAAGACCAACCGAACCTAAACTTCGTCACTTGTTTTCAAACAACTGAAACAGTTCTATCTGTTCTCGAACGTGGATGTCCTGATTTTATTAGTTGATATTATTAAGAATTTACAACTCAACCAGGAACTTTTAAAATGCATTCCAAGGAGCTTGATACAAGTCTTGAAATAGACGTAGACGATTCCTTTAACCAGTGTGAATTTGAATCATCGTTTGATTCCCGTGACGTCAATGACGTTAGCAGTGGAAGTCGACGTCATAAAGAACATCGTCACACCAAGTCTGAAATACCTGATGACGTAAGACTAAGAATCAATAGCCGAGAAAGACAACGAATGCATGATTTAAACTCAGCTCTGGACAGTCTGCGACAGGTCATGCCTTATTCCCATGGACCATCGGTAAAGAAAATCTCCAAGATGTCAACATTGCTGCTAGCTAGGAATTACATACTTATGTTGACTAAATCTTTGGACGAGATGAGAAAATTAGTGCAAGACATGTCGGCCGCAAAACCAGCAGAAGCACCAGTGATGCCATCTATCGCTATTCCTACAGCAACTCATCTAACAGCGCCCCCTAGCGATTTAGGAAGCCAATATTATTATCCAAGCGTGCCGACTGCATCGGCCAGGTTTTCTCCTTACAAGACCCCAGCGTTTGTGCCATATATGGACCCACCAACACACACGTCATCTCCAGTGTCAAAACGCGTTACGTCATCAAAAAGATCGCTCTCCACACCACTTTCCGATTCCACGAACATTCATGGACGTTCTTCGGCACCGTTCAAACATTCTGTGTCTTCAATTTTGGAGGATAAGAAACCATCCCAACCCATGCCTTGTAAGCCAACATCATCGATGTATTCTCTCAGCGAGGAGTCACAAGCGATAATATCCGGAGCTATTCCGAACGTCAGCCCACATCTTCTCGGATTCCCTCGACAAGATTGGAAGCCATTGTATTAAGTGAAGGTTTGATAATTTTGTGATAATTGACAATTTGATAGACTTGTGTATTCAATAGCGAAGAAAATATCATTGTTCAAATGAAGTGACATTTCTACGTGGCGATGAAAGTTGATGACTTTTCTTAAATATCGAATAATTGTGATAAAATAATTTGTATTTGGGGTGCAATGATTTCATATTTTCAAATGTTCCTTTTTCTACTCTTACACTATCGATCTAACTGTTTGTACATTTTGTATATTTGTATAAAATCATATTAAGTACATTAATTGTAACATTTGAAGTTGTACATAATGTAATGTAAACCATGAAGATGTAAGATATTGTCAGAAATACAAAAATATCAACATAGTTAATTTCTTTGTTTTCTATTCCGATTCAGTAAATGGACATATCCTGAAACTTCATATGTAGAAGTGCAAACGTTAATATTTAAGATATTTTTTGGTACTGGTCAAAAAGGAAATTGAATTGCAGAGTATATGTCCATTTTAGAAATATACAATATTTACAATATATAAACAATAACCTACAAGTGTGTTCGTCTGATATTGAATTTATTAAACAGGGTTACCAATGTTTTACCAATTTCGTATGAAATGGACGTTGGGTGATTTATGAGTTTGATAAATTCGATATAACATGAGAAGGAGTTTCCATTAGTTAAGTCTACTCTAGAGACACATTTGTATCCTGTACTTTATACATACATAGCGACAATCGACTGAAGTCGCATCATCATCTGTCGTAACGATTGCACGCTTTCATCTCTTTCTGTAACCAGGTACACTTTTTAATCCTGCAACGGGTACCGGAATACACCTGCCACATATATTTTTGGTGTATTCGGCAGTGACGGTAAACAGCTGCATTTTAGCATTTTCGACAGAATTGCTTTCTGAATTTACTTTAGAATTCATTTTAATGATATCAATAACTGTTGAAATAAGTATTCTATATGTTGTAATGAATAAGTTTATTTACGAAAAAACATAAAACCGCTGTCGTATCCGTTGAAGTTTGGAACTACAATTTACGCAGAGCAATTATTTTGGCGTACGTCATCAGGCAAAATTCAACGTAACGCCAACGACAGATTAACAAAGACTGAACAACAAAACTACTGAAGTTTTTGATTGTCAGATTTTCAATCAATGTTGCAGGATAAATAAAATACATAGCCAGCGTCTTAAACTATAAGACGTATTTTGACTCGCCAAAGGCTCGCTATTTTTGTCTTTTTTTTTTCACTCTCGCCAAAATGCACCTTACATCTTAAGACACTGACCATGTATTATCTATATGAGGTACACATAGATATGATAATTAAAGTACTTTTGAACCATGTAAAAGTGTACCATTGTAGACAAAACTATGAAAATCTATATAACATTGCCAGGCCATCGTTCTACTTTGATAAAAATACATGTATTGATACAGATATTATTAACATTGCATGTATATTATGTACAGCGATATAGTTTGATAGCGATACATTTATTGTTTTACTTCTCTGTATACTGTCCCGAAGTGAGTTTAGAGGCGATACAGGTATCCATTAGCCTCCCATGTATATTATACCAGAATATAGTTTGGGAGCGATACACGTATATTTCCGCCTCCCCCGTATACTGTACCTTGGTATAAGTAGTTTGGGAGCGATACACGTTTATTTCCGCCTCCCTTGTATACTGTACCTTGGTATAAGTAGTTTGGGTGTGATACACGTATATTTCCGCCTCCCCTGTATACTGTACCTTGGTATAAGTAATTTGGGAGGGATACACGTATATTTCCGCCTCCTCTGTACACTGTACCTTGGTATAAGTAATTTGGGAGGGATACACGTATATTTCCGCCTCCCCTGTATACTGTACCTTGGTATAAGTAGTTTGGGAGCGATACACGTATATTTCCGCCTCCCCTGTATACTGTACCTTGGTATAAGTAATTTGGGAGGGATACACGTATATTTCCGCCTCCTCTGTACACTGTACATTGGTATAAGTAATTTGGGAGGGATACACGTATATTTCCGCCTCCCCTGTATACTGTACCTTGGTATAAGTAATTTGGGAGGGATACACGTATATTTCCGCCTCCTCTGTACACTGTACATTGGTATAAGTAATTTGGGAGGGATACCCGCCTCCCCTGTATACTGTAACTTGGTACGTATATTTCCGCCTCCCCTGTATACTGTACATTGTTATAAGTTGTTTGTGAGCGTTTCACGTATATTCCCGCCTCCCCTGTATACTGTACCTTGGTATAAGTAGTTTTTGAGCGATACACGTATATTCCCGCCTCCCCTGTATACTGTAACTTGGTATAAGTAGTTTGGGTGCGATACACGTATATTTCCGCCTCCCCTGTATACTGTAACTTGGTATAAGTAGTTTGGGTGCGATACACGTATATTTCCGCCTCCCCTGTATACTGTAACTTGGTATAAGTAGTTTGGGTGCGATACACGTATATTTCCGCCTCCCCTGTATACTGTAACTTGGTATAAGTAGTTTGGGTGCGATACACGTATATTGCCGCCTCCTCTGTACACTGTACATTGGTATAAGTAATTTGGGAGGGATACACGTATATTTCCGCCTCCCCTGTATACTGTACCTTGGTATAAGTAATTTGGGAGGGATACACGTATATTTCCGCCTCCCCTGTATACTGTACCTTGGTATAAGTAATTTGGGAGGGATACACGTATATTCCCGCCTCCCCTGTATACTGTAACTTGGTATAAGTAGTTTGGGTGCGATACACGTATATTTCCGCCTCCCCTGTATACTGTACCTTGGTATAAGTAGTTTGGGTGCGATACACGTATATTTCCGCCTCCCCTGTATACTGTAACTTGGTATAAGTAGTTTGGGTGCGATACACGTATATTTCCGCCTCCCCTGTATACTGTAACTTGGTATAAGTAGTTTGGGTGCGATACACGTATATTTCCGCCTCCCCTGTATACTGTAACTTGGTATAAGTAGTTTGGGTGTGATACACGTATATTTCCGCCTCCCCTGTATACTGTAACTTGGTATAAGTAGTTTGGGTGCGATACACGTATATTCCCGCCTCCCCTGTATACTGTACCTTGGTATAAGTAGTTTTTGAGCGATACACGTATATTTCCGCCTCCCCTGTATACTGTAACTTGGTATAAGTAGTTTGGGTGCGATACACGTATATTTCCGCCTCCCCTGTATACTGTACCTTGGTATAAGTAGTTTTTGAGCGATACACGTATATTTCCGCCTCCCTTGTATACTGTACCTTGGTATAAGTAGTTTGGGAGCGATACACGTATATTTCCGCCTCCCTTGTATACTGTACCTTGGTTTAAGTAGTTTTGGTGAGATACACGTATATTTCCGCCTTCCCTGTATTATAAACATAATGTATCATATCGCCAAATGAGTTGAAAGGATTATTTTCCCCTCTAACAGGAATAACTTAATTAATTATATTTTCCTGGAAGTCGTGGAAGTTAGTTTTGTTTATCAGTTTTATTTTATAGGAGGCAGGACATTTTCCTTGTTTTTCAAAGTTGAATTAAAAATCATAATCTGAATTCGTTTTAGATTCCTGTGATATTTTTGATTTTTTTTCTACTACATTAATTAATATGTAAAAAAAATAAACGACTAAAACCGGAAGCTCTACATGTTATTTTCTTCAGATCAAATGAAAAAACGTAATTGTTTTTATTGCTATAACCCGTAGGCGACAATTAAATTTACAGATAATACATATTCAACATTTTATTTAATATTTATATCTACATAAGAAAAGATAATTTTTGATATTTAGCATTCAAAGAACATGACAACTTTTGTTTTTGCTACTTTTTGTTTGTTTCTTTGTTTCTGGTAACACACTTTCTGGTGGTAGTCAGGACTCTGAATAAATCCTTCACAATCTGCCGTAGTTCGATTCCACGAAACTATGGGACGGAACGTTTTCTCTAGGACTTTTTCCCGCGTTAGACCGTTGCACGCTTCTGCCGCGCCGACAAAATTGATCAACAAACGACTATGTATATGACGTGTATTTGAATGTTGTTCCTAATCCAGGATCTGTGTCCTTATACCGTCAAATTGACAGAAACCAGGTGTCTTGATTGGTGTGTCTATTAGTGACATTGAGAGTCTTTATGGCACGATTGACCATTGTCCGGCCGTGCGGTCATCTGATTTCGTTAAGTAACAATGTCCATGACACTTGTCAAGGTTAAACGGATGCAACCACCCGTACATATACAATCTGGCGTGAGGTCAGGGTTGATCCGTAATGTGTAATAGACTTAATAACAAACAGTCCGGTAGTATTGAACTAGCGAACGCATTCACGATGTATTAGGAGGGGTGGGGCCGGGGAAGGAGGGGGGGGGGGGGAGGAGGTGTGTACCAGACGAAAGTATTTTATTTCTGGAAAAGGAAGATATGAAGAAGCAATGCAAATCAAACTATGGGGCGAATGTGTGAATTATGGATTGGATATTTTATTCTAATCAAACGGTATTCCTTGTTCAACGCCAGAGACTGGAAATACGTCAGCATTTAATTTAGTAAATTAGAATGTATTTATTGTAAAACGTAGTCAACGTAGTGAAGTTGTTTCTCGATATTATCTCCCTTTGACCTGCAGAATTCGTGGGTGACATATAAAGAAATGCAGTATGAACATCACTACTAAATTTTGGTTAAGGAAGCTGCACTGCGTGGTCAAGGCATTTTGTGTTAATCCCTTTATAAAGAAATAAATATGAAATCGTATCTGCCACACAGAAATCATTATCTTTGGTAAAAAAGGGGGAATTTAATATAATTTCCATGTAGTACTAACGAAGAAAACTTGTTTCCCAATTTGAGCTGTATGATAGCTGAGAGCGATAAACCGCATTTTTTTGTTTATTCGGGTCATCCGCAACGTCAATAGAATGGTACAACATCAGTGTGAGAAAACAAAAAAAAATCAGCTCCACT